ATGAATTAATGTTGCTGGATAGTTGTACTTTGACCCATGTAAACACTATAATCCTATATATTGCCTGAAGCTGATAGCTCCTTTGTAATGGAAGTATTGTTAACTGTATGCAATTAGTGGAACACATGAATAAGCCTGAACTCCTGGATGGCAGGGATTACATTGCAGGCAATACTAGAAAAGCAAATGTCAGGGCAACAGTGCTCTAACAGGAAACACTAGAGATGTAAGTGGGTTCTTCTAAAGAAGCCACTAGCAATATGTTTAAAACCTTTTTCTGTGTTGTGCTTTTTTAGGTGACTGAGGGAGTCAATGAAGGGAAGACATTTCTAACACCTATGGGCTGCTCTTGAATGCATCTTTTGGCTCAAAAATGTCCATTATTTGCAGGTCTTCCCTTGTCCAAAGCTGCTATTGAGTCTATTAAATATCGTGCTACACTTAAAGGGTGTGGGCATTTGGCCGGATAAGGGTAATAGTTTCCAACATGAGAGTCAAGATGTTAGCTGTTTTGGAAATATGACTTAAACTCCATTTAAACCAAGATTCTGAAAACTCAAGGAGGATTTTACACAAGCTTCTGATGGCCTGGAGCCAGCTGACCCCTCACAGCCTTATTTATAAGCACCATCACCTCTGTAAGCTTTTTCAAGTAATGTTGCCTCAGGAGGAATATATTAATGTGCATGAATCGTTAGTTATCAATAAGAGATTTAGTGTCCTAGAGGACCTTGGTATTTCCACACTTGAATATATATATATACAGTATAAAAAGTCCTTGCACTATTAGTGGTTGTTAATGTGAAATCTCAGTAGCCTAAAGCTGAGTTAAGACATATACATAATATTAGTATCATCATTCTTTTCTGTCAGTGCAGTAAGAAGTCTGATGAGGACGAATGGAAAATTAAATCACCCAATAAGTCAGTCACTGTGAAATAAACTGATGATACGCTGGTGCACTTTAAAGAGAGTTAGTTTAATGTTTCTTATTTTTTTGTAAACAAGATTTTGGCAACAAACTACTAAGAACTAAATTAAACAGTCCATCAGATTTTCCTCATTCGGGTGAAACCAGGCTAAGCCTTATGAGTTTAAGGGTAATCTGCTAACTTTAAAACGACTTTACTCCGTATAAAGATGCTTATTCGTGTGTCATCTATAATTTGTATTTGCCTCAGAAGTTAATGCTCTCCCATTTCTATATTTTAGTGGGAATGCTGTTAACAGCATTCCAACTAACTGTTATTCTACGGACTAAAAGTTTATTATTCCGCCGGTATTTTGGCCCTCTTCTCCTCCGGCATTGAACATCGCAGAAACTCCGTTCAAACATCAANGTAAGTTTTGTGTAGTTTCGGGTTAATAATGTGGCCTTTTTGGCAGTTTAACTAAAGGTGTGCGGCTGCTACCGTGAGGAAATATCTGCCTGAAATTACAATGGGGTTTAATGGAGGTATGTTGAACGTTTTTGTCACTTCATGCCCTCAAAAAACATTTTGTTTAATTATTTTTTGCTTAATTATTTGTCATTTTTCAAGCTACGAGATGTTTTCCTACGTTTGTCATGATAAATTATGTCTCAAGAATGTAGGGTTTGGGAATTATGGCAGTTTAAAAAAAAAATATGAATGGGAATTTCAAGCTGTCCTCCACTCTAGCTGTGACATCACACACTCTAGTTAATGTTAAAATGTGAAGAAAACCTCTAAAACAAGGTCTGAACAATGTTTAATATCTCTAAAAGTAAGAATCAGATTTAAAAGTTGTTTTACACGAATAATGTCAGAAAGATGTGTAACATTTTAAAGTTGGAATGAGGTGTCTAAGTGAAAGTATGAATGAACAGTTAGCAGTTGAATTGCATGAAGATTTGTTGAAGTCTGAAGATTTTCTCCATTGACTTCAATGTTAAAAATGTGATGTATTATGGGATGTATCTCTGGAATTATGAAAGTTATGAATGAGAAAAGTAATAGCCATCGATTCCTGACCGAGCTGAACGTATTGATGTTTGAACGGAGTTTCTNGGCGCCCCCAGAGTACGAAAATTTGAACTTAATTATTGCATAATCCAATCCAACTTTATTTATATAGCACATTTAAAAACAGCAGAGTTGACCAAAGTGGCACTTTGGTCAACTCTGCTGTTTTTAAATGTGCTATATAAATAAAGTTGGATTGGATTATGCAATAATTAAGTTCAAATTTTCGTACTCTGGGGGCGCCCTTCTGTATCTGAACCTTGGCCCTTTACTACATGCTGTCACTTCTTATGTCTTACTATATTGTGTTTTAATAAATCTCAGAAAAATAGATGTCTTACTCTGGACCAGTGTTGTACAGACAGAAGACAAATAAACAGTGTATGTGTTGCAGTAACAATATGTTAGAGAACATGTTAAATAATTTAAGTGACAAAAACATCCTCTGATACTTATATGCGGACAATCAGCACACTAGTGGAAAAGAGAAGCAGGCGGCGGTGGAGAACAGATGAGAATAGAACACGATGGCAGAGGAGCTCCTGGCTTCATTCAGAGAACACAGCAGGAGGTATGTTCACATGTTCTATTGCATATATTTTCTGAAAACAAATTCATCTGACTTGTCATGATAGATTTATGTGTGAAGAAAATGCATATCTGTTCAGCACATAGTCACTACAGTAAGCCTCAGGTTAGGACCCCATCTTTGATTACACAAAGAGATTCATACTGGCTAAGGATTTATAGAAAATGGCCGTTCTTCTTGTCCCTTTTTCACAGAAAATAACACACGAATGAAAGACCAACTCTGCATTTTCAGTTTGTTTGTTATTACTTTTATTAATTATTATCATCGTCATCATCAACATTATTCTTCAAGTTTAGCTGTGTAACAAACTTTTTCTTGGCTGTCAAAATATGTTGAAATATACTTTTTGCATGAAATGAAACCTACAAACAGTAACGTACAGAAAGGTAGCAGAAAAAAATACAACATGAGAAAGTAAATAACCTAAAAATAAAAAAAAATTCTATGAAAGCAATTCAACTGAATAGACACAATTCTACTAAAATATATTGGTTAAATGCACATAGTTGATGTGTGTATGTCCATGCGTGTGTGTGTCTGACCAATCACAAACTGGCCTTTAGCTCCCTTGTCTCCCATGGTTAATAATGTACACTTAATTCGTACCAGTGCTGGTGTGTGTGTGTGTGTGTGTGTGTGTGTGTGTGTGTGTGTGTGTGTATGTGTGTGTTATCCCTTCCTTGGCAATAAGAACATAATAAATGGAGTGCAAGCAACAGCATAATTCCTATAACACATTCTGACAAAGACAAAAATGACTTGTTTTTAACAATGTAAACGCTGATGTAAAATGCCATCAAACCTAAAACAGACACTCATTTTTTAATTAAAACATGCCATGTGTGACCTGAAGGTCCAATTCATTTCAATTGTCTCGCCTATTTTAAACCATAAATGACAACTGAAATGCTCTCCCACGATTCCTATTAATATCTATTTAAGTTTTAGATATACAGTATCCTTACATGACTCATGAGAGACATTCGTGTTAATCTGGCAAATACATAAAAACATATATTTGGATAGGAAACAGTTTCGCAGAGCACATACAATATGGAAATTGTGCAAGAATTGTTTATTATCTAGGCTACTTTCTTTTTACTTCCAACTCACTCAGTTCAGGGAAATATTTTTTTTTCCAAAAGTTCATAAACTATTGAAATATTTTGGCATTCATTTGTCTCCAGCCTACTTAGAAAACTGCTGTGTTAAAACACGAAAAATGAGTTCATCCAATTGCTTTTATTACATCTGTTCCCTAGAAATCCCATGAAAATCAGAACCAAAGGAGTTTCAGTAATTTCATAGATGAAAATGTGTGTCAATTTACTTTTATCAAATGTGAAACTAAATCCGAGAGAATCCAAAATGTTCTTCTAGCAAGAATCTGATGATTTACGGCTGGTGACAATTTCTTTAAGGACCATTCAAGTAGTAGGGAAATCAAACCTTAACAACACGAGCAGACACCTTGTCAGTTTTGGGGTAACAGAGCTAATATCAGCTCTTTGGGCACAACACGGCGTAACATTAATTTAACTTCTATTGTGCCTCCCTTGACCTTTCTACCAATTGAGAACAAGTGTATAAGCACTTAATAAAAGAAGTAATGCAGGAGAGTGGAGGGATAAGAAGAAAGACAGAGATGAAGAGGTAAAACAACAGATGAGAAGGATGCAGATGATGGAGATCAATAGAAAACAGATGAGAGGATGAATGCATACATTAACCTATTTATCAACCACTAAGCGTCATGTGATCCATATATACTTCAAAGGCACCCATGTATCCATCTTAGCATCTGTCAATCCTTCCTTTTGTTCTGATTCTTTAAAAAAAAAAAAAAACACTGCTTGATTGCTTTTTTTTGCTACATTTGCAAATGTAAACAGTTTTCTTGATGCTAGCATGTCCTGAAGAGATGCTCAAAGCTTAAAAAACCCACAATATATTATGCTTTCCTTTCCATCAGCGTGATGTAGAAAGTGGAGCCATTCATGGGGAAGGTGTGCAAACTCTTCTGAGGAAAATCCCTACACCAGGATGTGTAGCATCTTTAATAGTTACACTGATTTCTTTGCAGCAGAAAAAGTATTTTTATTTTTGTTTTACTGTCAGTCCTGCTTGTTTGCCAGGTTTTCTGAAGGCATTGGTGTCTTAAAATGTAAGAAATCTAAATAATGATCTCCTCTTTAGAATAACAACACCTCATAATGCGTTTTTTCTTAACCATGATATGGGCATTGTGATATTACACAATTTGGCTTCCAACTCCAAACAAACACAGAACATCTTCGTGTCATTGCATCTCTGTAAAAATGTTACCAAGGCAAATGTCTTTATCTTTCTACAAAGTCATGTAAATGCATGCAAAGAGGGTTAATTAGTGATAAAGAGTTAGCATAGCAACCAATTTCATTCTGTTAAAGCACATGTGGGTAGTTCTCAATGGCTGAAAAGGCAAAGAGGGAACATCAATCAGACACAAGCATTATAATGGATGACTTTTAACTTGGTGCACGGGAAATAAATATCGAAGTATGTTTGCCCAACTCCTGCCTAACATGACTTACTTTTCGAAACAGACAGAGGTTTATTAGAAAAACTGTACAAGTTACCAGGCACTAGTCAGAATATCTTTGTATCCATGTCTTTTGGACAAGCATAGAAAAATATCTTATTCTCATTATTTATTCTCTCCTGTCTTTATTGTCTTTAGGCTTTTATTACTTCCTTCAAAGGAGTCCCTTGGTGATTTTTTTTGTTTTTTATTCTAGCAACTAAGGCAGCAAGGCAGGGGGAAGTGATTCTGTTCTTATCAAAAAAGATGGCCACCGAGTTTCTCCCTTCTGAAAAATAGAATCTTAATGAATGACCTGCTAGTCAATATTTTCAATGTATTAAATTAATGATGAACATTTGGTTTTAGACGGGTCTTTCCTTAAACTTATAAGACTGATTTAGAACCAAAATGTAGGTAATGAAAGGCAGGACAGTTGTTGGAGTAAGCTGGAGTTTGAAGCAACATGGCGATTTCTTTCAGTATCATTTAGGTATAAGGTGAAACAGTTCCCATCCATAGAAAAGGCAATGTATTTTGCAGATTTTATAAGACGCTAACATGCTACATAGAGGTAACCTACCATACTCTCAGAAATACGAGATAGGCTGAATAAAACACTGTAGGCAATACGCTCTGTAAACTCAATACAGAGCTAAAGTTTATACAGTTAACCCATATAATTAATCCTTATGATAACATTTAGGGTTGATCTCCCTAAGCTCCTAAGGTCTCTCTATAAAACCATACCTAACAACATATGATAGACAAACAGAAAAACAGTTACATAGTAAGACTATTTTGACCTATTAACGCACAAAGAACATGATAAGAATACATATAAGACAACGTAATGTAACATGCCAAAACCATTAGACCTTTTAAAAATGATGTGTCAAATGCTACGAGACAGGTGGGTTGGTGTGCAACACGTGTGACCCCTGAGGACTGAAATACCGAGCGCAAGCCTTCATTATGTTTACATCATCATTTGGGGACGGAAGCATCCTTTGATCCTTACACACAATTACACAAATGCACACATACACACAACCCCCTCTCTTGCTGTACCATTTCTGTTAGACGGCTTTTATCCACGTAACAAGTCTCCCCAAGAAGATACACAACAAATAACTCAAAAAGAAAAAAAGACTCAAATACACTAATTCTTATAGTACCATTTCCTGCAAAAAAGCATTATTTGCCTTTACAAAATAACATTTTATATAGGAAAGTGTAGCAAATTGCATGTTTTGTACTATAACATCATCATTATTATTATTATTACCATTATTAATATAAATGTTAAGCAGGTTAATAGATGGTTGTTCTATTAGGCAGGCAGCCAGGCACGTAGCTAGTATCATGGCACGGAGGAAGGTAGAAAATAAAGTCACTTGGTTTGATCAAAATGGATCAAGAGAACACTTCGGTCCGGAATTACTCCGGTCTTACCAGTTCAAACTGGTTTTAAGCAGTTCAAAAAGTATTTTCAACAAGTCTCCCATTTAGGGCCACTTTGCAGCGCTGGCGATTTTCCCAGTTGTTTTTTTCTTTTTGCCAGTTTCAGAAACAAAAAGGATAGGAGCTAGAAAAGCTGGGTTAACTCCACCAGTTTCAAAGAGTCAAAGTAAGTTTTGGTTTGGATCCATTAGCACAGCGGTGTGACAGTCAAAAACATGCTTTGGACCAGACCAAAGTTCTTCTGACCAGATAACATCTGGTTGTACCGAGATAAATGATCTGAATGATGCATCAAACCAGTTAGGACCAGTTTGGTTCAGTTCCACCCGGTGCATAACAGATCAGCCAAGTTAAAGTGTTTTGCTTCTAGCATTTTTTTTTGCTCTGCTGTATGGTGGCTGTGCAAGTGCTGAGCTCCTCAAACTCATCCTAAATGAGAGCAGTCTAACTTTGTGTCCAGCTTCCAATCCTCTTATTTGGAAAGCACATGAAGTGGCTGTTTATTAAAAGGTGATTTCAGCTGCATGCCCGGACTCTGTCATTGAATACTTGCCACAGAGCTGTCAAGTGGCCGTCACTCAACACAGGATTCAGGCTTTTTCTCCAAACTGTCCATGCAGCAGTTCAGCGGGATCCTACGATGATTTTTGACCATTTGACAGCCGAGTGCTTCCAGCATAAGGATGTGTTCCATTTAGTGCCCAGGATAGGCTCATTTTGACATGAGCGAGCCTCCAGGAACATGGAGGCCGACAGCTTATTCATTCAATAAAAAGCGTTCTTTAAAGGTTTGTTTGAGTCAAAGGCATCAGATTAATTACTCTCTGTGTTCTCGTCTAAGTTTTTAGATTCTGCAACAGTCGTGACCTCTGTGGGTTTTGTGGTGTCATCATTACTATCCGACACCGTTTCATCTCCCAACTCCTGGTTTGTTACGTCATGACCTTCTTCTCTCACTTCCATTTCAGCTTCCGTTTCATTGTCAGTGGCATCAGCGCCTGTCTTTTCTTTTGCTTGGTTGTCGTGACCATCTCCTATGACATCATTGCTTTCGTCTGTGATCTCACTGTGAGCAGTTTCATCTTTTTCCTCGGGTGTCACATTTTGACACCCGTGCTCCGGGGTCACCGTGACGTTCTGATTGTGGTCCTCTTGCGTGGGACCCTTCTTTTTGTCTGTGTACCTGTGTAGGCCCCGCTGTATGTGTGTGGTGAAATCATAGCGATCAACACACACGTGAAGGCAAAAGCTGCATTGGTATGGTCCCTGGTCGCCGTGGCAACTCATGTGCAGTGCATACATGACCTCGTCGAGGAAGTAGATCCCACAGTGGATGCAGCGATTGGTCAGGTCGTCCTGCGTGGAAGCTTCCACCATTACGCGATTCGATGGGGCACTTGACTGACTTTTCGTCAAATGATCCTTTTCTATCTCCTCCCTCTGGCTCTCTCCTTCATCCATCCTCTCCTCCTCCTCTTTCTCTGCTTTCCAGTTCTCTCTAGACCTCTCAGCCAGCGGCGACTCTTGCCTTCTCCTCTCCGCACCGTTTGTTGACACGTGTGAATTCGCCGCACTGGTATCTCTTTGTCTTATTGCAAGATCCAAGGGGGCGTCATTTTCTAACAATGGCGAGGAGGTTTGGGAATGAAGAGGAGGAGGAGGATAGTGAGGAGGAGCTGGAGGAGGGGGAAGAGGAGAGTAGGGGGAGGCACAGTAAGGCACCGTGTAGCTTTGCTGATGATGCTGTACTGGAGCCACCATGGCACCAAGGTAAAGAGAGTTGTTCCCAACGCTACCAGGACTGCTCAGATTACTGAAGGTACCGGGGACCCCAGAGGCGGCGGCCATCTTGTACTTGGTCCAGAACCTGAGCCAATCCGATTCAGGCGTCAGATCAGGGGAGAGGGTTAATGGTAGGGGTAAGGAGAAAAGAGGGTACTGGTACTTTTCAATGGGTGAACCAGGGGGCGAATAACTAGACGGTTTGGATGGACGCATGTACTTTTCAATTGGACTCCCTCTTTCTGATCCACCTCCTCCTTTACCTCCCTCTACTTTGGATATTATCCCGCCCTCTGTGAGGCCTCCATTACCCTCAGCTACCAACGAGGAGGGGGTGTGTGACGGAAGGAGAAGAGGAGGCATGCGTCGGTGGATCTCCAATGTTTGATTGGCTAGGAAGGCTTGAGTGGATCGGGGGGAGCGTGAGCGAGGGGAAGGCTGCTGGTTTTTGATTGAAGCAAAACATTTGTCTGACTCCTCCCCATTGACTCTCTCTTCGCTGGTGATGCGCTGTTGTTTCGGGGCGGGGGTCTCAGATGACAAGGAATCAGGGTTGATGCGTTTCCTTGTACGGCGGCGGATTATTTGTTCACCGTTGTTCTGCTTTATGATGTTCAGAGGTCTTGGTGTCTAGGAGATAAAGGAAACAAAAAGGAAAAACATGAAAAAAGGACAAGTATTAAAAAACTATTAGCTATTGACAATTTATATTCTTGTTTGAATGTTTTATAACAAATTATCTACGGCTACTTATCTGGCATGACTATTAAACATCAAACATATAAAGCCTAGCATCATTTGACTTTGATTATATTACATTGTGTTTATTACCAAAAAAAAGGAATAGCTGTAACAATAGAGCTTATGACTGGTAAACCACTTATTAAAAAAAAAGTAATTTGGTGAAATACACAAAGACAGCAATGCTAAGAAAGTTGCATTATGGCTGATTGAAGATGCACAACTGCAGTTACTGTTTGTAATAATCAATGCAAAGTAGGCCAACCAAACACAAATCTCCAATTTAGCAATAGTATATCAACATTTGAAAACTCTTAATTCCTTTAAACTTGTCCTATGTATAATTAACTGTGACATGCTAAAGAAAAGACATGTGCATCAAGCCTGAGGACTGCACGTTTTGCCCTTACCACAAGGGGGAGCACTTACATCTGATGTAAATTGTTTGCCCTTAAAACTCAACTTTTCCAGTCAGATCCCTAACTTACTCTTGACAGAGGTCTGAATTCCAAAGAAGGAAATCTGGTGTGGTGCTTCTACAACACAATATCTGAATCATGTGTTACTTCTAAAGATAAATGTAGTACTTCTAAAGATAAATGAGAGGCCATGAAACGTATTTGATGTTTCATTCCTTACACATGCCAAAACAAATAAAAAAAATTCCAGACAAATTAGCGAAAGATTTTCTTTCATTGGAGTAAAATAAATGGGCCAGTTTAAAGTGTCTTTAAAGTGTCTACACTTCAACTCAAAAGTAATGACTTGCTATCAATTCACTATTGGAGAACTGACTGCACTGATGCCTTCTCTCTTAAACACATAACACATAGTAAACTTATCATAGTATTAATGCAAAACAAAGTCAAATTCAACTGGCACAAAGAGAGGAGGTTTTTTTAAGCATAAATAAACCTTTAAGTTGAGTTTATTGAAATGTTGACTGAAATGCAGGTTGAATTTATTCCACTTCCCACTTAACATTTTAGGAATAGCAAAGAGCCTTGTTATTATATGTGCCTATATTTAACTCTAGAATGTGTGTCTAACTGATGTAAGACTTAGTACATTACATTGTGGGAAATAAAAACCAGGTGCATATAGAAGCATCAAGCAAGAAGGAACATAGATGAATGACGGTGTTCGTCATTCAGTGGAAGAAAAGCAAGAACGTGGGTTGCCGCTTCTATTTAAAGAAAAAAGCATGAACACCTTGCTATGTCTGCAATAGGTATGATTTATCCCAGCGTGAAGGAAAAGCAAGTACGTGGGTTAGGACTTTAATATGTACCTAAGACTAAGAATGTGTGTTTCTCAAGGTATGTGTATGAAAGTGTGTGTCAGTGAGTGTGATGTCATCATTAGTCTTTGTAGAGCTGCTACTGGAACTATTTAAGGAGACATGAGTCACTTAAAGCTTAATCCAGAGATGTCCTGCTGCACTTGTAACAAATGATGTCAACACATTCACCAACAGAGTTAACTCATGCTCCAAACAGTCCTTACTTACAACACTGTTTCAATGTATACACTTTATATAGGGGCCTCCTCTCAGAAGCCATGCTTGCAATCGTCTGTTGTTTTTCAAAGAGCTGTCCTATTCATAATTTTGGACAGCTTTTAAATATCTGAAAAACAATTTGTTTCTCTCAAAAACTGACACAATTATGTCGGTCAAATAATTGTCATTTTCCTTTATGGTCCTAAAGTTAATAATAATAATAATAATAATAATAATTTCAATTTCGATAGCGCCTTTCACGAAACCCAAGGACGCTTTACAATGGGAAGTAACAAAACAAAATAAAAGTTGTTTGTTTCTAGCTATAGAGAAAAGACAGGAGTGGAAGGGGAGAGAGGAATGAAAGGGGTGAGATTAATGAGAAGGGGGAAAAACTGATATATGGTTTACAGGAAGGATGAGGTAGAGGCAGGGGACATGAAGGAAAGAGGAAAGGAAGGAGGGAGGGAGTAAACACAGAAGGAGGATGGCTATCGTGAAAAACAAAATATAGCACCCCTTATGATGGAAACGATGTGTCTTTATCCCATACTACATACTGAACCTAATCAGGATCTATTTACACTATATATGTAAAATTGAAATGGATCATTGATTTCTTGGATCCAACCAATTAAGTGTATTCATTAAATGTCTTCAGTATATTTTGCATATAGAGCAGCCTAATCAATGAGTATGTACATAGTTCAGTCTCTCCTTAAAAAGCTCTTCTGCGTTTTCTCCTAATCCCTCTCCATCTCTCACTCTTTACACATCCCGTCCTCTTTCATTATCCCTGTCCTCACACTTTACCTTCATCTTCTCCTCTCTCTTTGTCTTCTTCCTTTTTCCTACCCCTTGTTTGTCTTCCTTCTTTCCTCTCTTCTCTCTCCCTAAATGTCTACCTTGTTCTCCCTTCTTATGCATAACTCTTGTTTCCCCTCTCTCACTCTGAAGTGTTTTACTAGCTGCTATCCTCTCTCATAATGTGTGTAGAGCATATAAAACTTTTATTATAGGGTATAAAATACGGCTGTCGTGAAGATTGTCAAGAGTAGAGAGAGCCGGGACGTGATTGGAGCAGCATATGAGATGAACAGGTTGACCAGGGGACATCGGCAGGGGCAGGAAGGAGTAAACTGCGATAGCTTGTCATTCTCTGAAGGGTCTTTAAAGCTCAATTCAATAATTTCAGTATAGTGCTTGGGGTTGTAACACGGTCAACCCACTGATGCGTTCACTAACACTGATTTATTACACTGAAACCTTTTGGTTCACTTTGAAATGTTACAAGCTGAGCCTAAAAGGCCAATATGTGAGCATGAATCTGGCATATATATATGTTGAAGCTCTGAAGGCTTGTTTCAAAATGAATGTTTTTGAGAGTAAGTTGGTTTATTTAAGTGGGAAATTACCTTTAAGTCTTTGAAGACATAAGAGGTGAGAAGCTCAATATTCTTAAGTCAACAAAATTCCAGACTAGGTTTTTATCTCATCTGTAATTCATGCAGTCTAATTAAATGTAGAATTTCTATTGACTTTCCTCGGGCTTCGATGGTAAAGTTGATATATTCCATCATATTTCTCACTCCATGGAGCTGGCTCACAGTGCCTGCTGAAATGGTGTGTAACTCCCAGCTCAGACCAAATCAAATACTTTTCCCACAATATTACATTTCACAGCGGGACTCACAGAATGTATGCAGGAATATAACTGCAGTATGCACAGTTTAATTTGAACAATGTGCTAATGGGCCAGACAGGAGGAGTGATAATTAGGGGTCGAAACCTACCCTGTGGATGTATTAAAACATATCATAGAGTCTATAAAATAGTCAAAAGTACTTGTTTTTTGATCTAGTACAACTTCTATGAGTATATGAAGGTTCCTTTGACAGGGTTAGGAGTTCATTACCGCAAATTAATTTCTGTATGATAATACACCTGATATTTAGCTTACTTGCTGACTCTCTATATTTGAAGTGTTCTTAGGTGTAAGTGCTTTCCCTCTCACAATTGCTTTGAAAGAACATTTGAATAAAATTCCAAATATTCAGAAACTTCATGTATTTGGGAAATGTTGTAATCAATCTCAAAGGTCTAACGTGTGTTTAGTATAATCCATTTAGCCATGTGTTTGCATGGTCATGACTGTGTATCACGTACCGAATGAAGTTTTTGGTATAAACCACATGCGTTGCAGACGTAGCCTCCATTGGAGTTCTTCCTCCACAATGACGTCTTGGTAGTTAGACAGTTTGCACAGAAGACCCCGCTGCCTCTGCGTCGCTACGGAAGGATAAAAAACAGAAAACATTAGAATGTGAAGTAAATATCTAGATTTATAAAGCGACGTTTTGTAGGTAAGAACGATGCAAAGTCACAGAAAGAAAAGAAAGAGGGGGAAAACTGAAAATGCTGTTTTTAGTTTCAAAATCTTTTCACACCGCTCAAATAAGGTTAGGACAGAGAGAGAACATCTTGGTTATCCTGCCAAACAGTGAAACCTATTTAGAATGTTGTTGTACTATAATTTCCCCTTTTTAGAACAAGTTTAATATGTTATGAATATAATGTTGGTACTCAAGAACTGCTCCACAGAAAATATATGTTTTCAACTTGCAGCATAAAGTGTTTAGGTGTTTATCTAAACTGCCGGAGGTACTTTACAGGTAAGTGTTTGACTTCTACTGTTTCAGTGTATTAACACACACACACACACACACCTCTGCAGTTCATGAAGCAGCGGTGCATAAAAAAGTAGAGTGTGCAAGAAAGGGTGGGGGCGGGTTGGGTTTAAAAGGCCAATTGTCGTGGCAACGTGCTCCATCACAGTAATGAGCCAATCACAACGTTTCTCCATCCCATTAAGTCTCTGGCCCCATTCACCACCTTTATGACCCTGAGAAGACAGCATACCTCATCTTTCTCCCCCATGAATATGTCGGTTTCTCTCTCTATTTGCCCGTCCGTTCAACCAGGTCTTTCTCTCTGCTTTAATTTTGATCAGCGTTGGTGCTTATTCCATCTTTACTTCCTCCTCTCCTCTTGATATTTTTTTCAATGTTTACCACTGACTAAATATCTACATAACAATAATAATAATAATAATAATACATTGGATTTTTATAGCGCTTTTCCTATTGCTCAAAGACGCTTTACATAAGATCAGAAACAGAAACACAATACTATGCATGTATAAGATTGACAACACGCCTGCATGCAATTCCTTTTTCTTCCCAGACCTTTAAATAATGTTAATTTCTCTCTCAGTTTGTGATGTCCTCTCTGATTATGTGAGTATGGTTGTGCTTGTAAAAGCTGTTATGTATGGCTTACTAAAATCTACCTTCTGTGGATCTGCCATATCCTTAACATTTCTCGCTTGGATTCACATAGTTATCCCAATTCACTTTCACTCCATCATGGACTTTGCATCCACTGGGACCTTCTCCTTTCAGTGCTGGTTTCTTGTTGTTTTATGTTCATGACAGTGCTGGGAGTTTAGAATTTTTTTTTTTTTCGTGCTCAGAGCACCCAGTGCCAGAAGTTAAAAATATTTCAACTTTTCACAAAAGAGTGCTGCACTTCAATCAGGCTTTCTGTAGTCTCAGAGCTACAGATGGAGCCACTACCAAGCATCTGTTTTGCGCTGCCAGCTCAAAGCCGGAGAGCCCAGTGGGCACAACACTGTTCACTTTATTTATGCAATCTAATGTACTGCAAGCATTCCTGCACTTTACATTTTGTGTGGCAACATCCAGAAATACACATACATCTATACCTATGGCCTGAGCAACATAATGTACATGAAGAATATCATTTATAGTTCTGGTAAGAAAAAAACATTATGGCAACTTTAAACTACAAATGCTAATATTACATAGTGGTGTAGGAGAAATCACCCAATGTTTAAAGGCAACAGCAAATGTTATATTGAATATTTTAGAGGTAAGACATCAACTAGCAGCGGATCAGGAACTCTTTAAACATCTGGACTACACGGCATTAGAAGACTAAACATCAAATACCACCAGCAATGAAAAATGGTATTAATACATTTTCCGTTTCTTATAATTTAACAGACGTTCACGATAACATCCTTCATGCTGTGTGTATCAGGATACAAAATTAAACTTTTAGATTGTTCCGGGATTGAACACAAAGGAACCCCACAGATGCGTTTATTTATTCTAGGAAAAAAATGTTATCTCATTCTCATTTTGTGTATAATAAAACCTGTTTCCCCATAACATTGTATGTAATAAACACCTGAGCTAATATTAGAGTCTTTACTTTTTGTCCAGCTAACGTCAGAGAGCAGAACAGTTACATGACCAAATCCTCTGCTCTGTGTGTGTGTGTTCGTCTGCCTAAGTGTATATGTTGCACACACCATACGGTCACCACATGTACAGAGACAGAGCCAGGTGATTGATTGATGTACGCTTCCTGTGTGTGTGTGTGTGTGTGTGTGTGTGTGTGTGTGTGTGTGTGTGTCTGTGTTGCA